GAAACGAGCAAGCCTGCAATGATGTCTCAAGCGAAACAAGCAATGCTTAATGAATCCTGTCGTTCTCTTCTCCTTCTCCTCGCCTCCTCCTCCTCCTCCTCCTCCTCCTCCTCCTCCTCCTCCTCTCCCTTCCTTATATGTTCTCTCTCTTTTAATATGTTTGTTGACTTCATTATGTCCCTTTCGATATATTTCTGTATTGTTGCTCTCTTTCTATATCTCTCTCTCTCTCTCGTTCTCTCTCCCTTCCCCGTGGCCCCTGAACTTGTTTACCGCTGTAATTTACTATCCAATGAAACCGAGGCAGATGAGCTACCCTACACGAGCAGATGAAAAGTTTAATTTTCAGTAAGCGCTTACAAATTAAATCTAATAAGTTTTGAACTTTTGATGTTTGCTTGCTCGTTCTCCTCTCCTCCTCTTGGTGTTTCTCATCTTCCTCCTCCTGCTCCTCTTCCTCCTCTATCTCCTCTTCTCTTTTCATATGTTATGTATCTCTCTATCTTTCGTCTCCTCCTCTGCTTCTCCTGCTCGTCCTTCTCCTCATCCTCCTTCTCTTCCTCCTCTTCTCTGTCTATCTCTCTCTTTCTATGTGTCTTTCTTCTCCCCACCTAGCGCCCTGAACTTGTTTATCGCTGTGGTTGATTATCCTGGGAACACTAGACAGATGAGGTACGAGCAGATGAAAATCTGAACTTGAAGCGTATACAAATTAAATCTAATAAGTTTTGAACTTTGGGTTTTTCGTTCATCCTTCTCCTATTTCTCATCATCCCTCGAGTCTCAAGCGAAACGAGAGATTTGTCGAGGATGTCTCAAGCGAGACAAGCCATTGTTGAGGATGTCTCAGAGAGGACAAAAAGCCAAGGATGTCTCAAGATATCCTCGGCTTTGGCCCCTCTGTTAACATCTTTATGCTGGCCTCTGGTGGATATTTTTATTATCGCACCGTAACCGCCGAACTTTATTATCCCAGGGAGTTTATTATCGGCTGTTTGGGGTTACCAGACTGGAATGGCTCGCGCTGCGCACCAACGTTCCAGCTGATGCTCGATCGCGCAGCGTCGTTGCAGACCGCACGGAGTTCGAGAGGCCATCGCCCTCCGTACGTCTAGCTGGCATGCTTGATTGCTGTTGAGAGGTGTGAGGAAGCATTCTGCGAGACCGCGGCTTTAGCAAATCCTCGTCCTCCGTCCATGTATCTGGTGACGTTGCCAAGCGATGCGATTGCGGAGCTTGGGACATCGGAGCCGTGTACATTGTCAAAACGAACAGCCTTCCATCCATGTAGCCGTTGAGAACTTCAAGCTTCGTGATCAGAGGTTGCATGTAAGTCTCAGGCTGGAGCACTGTCCGAGCACGGTTTTGAACACTGCCCTCCCCCGTGCGTGGGATGTTGGCAATCAGTAGGTTTCAGGGCCACAACATGCGAGGAAGTTCCAAGCGATAGCACACGATTTTGGAAACCGGCGGCCCTCCAACAGTTGTAACTGTTAAGCGTCCAAGCTTCAGCTCTGCAGAATGCGACGACCTGTCAGGCGAATCACCCACAACGCTCGAAACGCCCCTATCTGCACGTCCTGTTCTGCGACGCGAAGGATTTCTGAGCAAGGGGGAGGAAGGAAGGAGGGATCTCCCTTTGGGCGCGCCTGGGGTCGAATTCTGGGGCGCCTTGACCTGACTTTGGTGGTCATTTGGGCCCACCCACCCCATGGTATGAGTCCACGAGGTGCTCTACAATGGGCCTCGCCTTGGGTGAACCTCGCCCTCAGCAGAAGGTGGCGGAGGGCATGTGGAAGCCCGCGGAAGGTTGGCTGAAGGCTGCAGAAGTCAGTGCACATGTGTTCCCAGACCCCCGACGTCATGCTTTGTTCATGACGCGACCCCTAGAGGTCCAGACCCACTCCCTGGGACCGGCTTTTCCTCCCGAGCCTCTTTTTGGCGGCCCCGAGGCCCGGTAAGAGCCCCCATGGGGCCGAAGCTGGCGAAAAGCCTTGCGTGGCGAATTTTTCGTAGCTCGAGGGGGTCTGGGTTATCGACATCCTCGAAGCCACACAGGTGGACCTCCCATCGCTCGGACGTCCGTTTCCCGAGCACGTTTCGGCTTCGCGCGCGTATTGTCTCGCAGGATGACCCAAAACGCTCCACGACGGTCCTCGCCGAGAGAAGACGCACACGTCCGCGCGATGCCAGGTGGAGGGAGGCTTTGGGGTGATGTCGCGGCTGCCCACGAGGGGTGCTGCCGAGGCCGGCCAGGCCCAGACCGCCGCCCCCTGTGGGGTGGCCCGCGTGCGGCCTCGTGTTCGCACCCATATGATGGGCCTGCTTTCCACCACCACCGCCAGAAGTTCGAGGGGGAGGGTGTCCTCCTCCTCCTCCTCCTTCTCCTCTTCCTCCTCCTCGTCCTCGTCCTTCCCCCCTCCAACTTCTGGTGGTGGTGGTGGAAAACAGGCCCATCACCATAGCCTCAAGTCGGGCACGTCCCTCCACAGGAGGAATATTGAAAAACAGTCAAGACAAGTGTTGGGCCGATTTGTTCTTACTATTTTTGCTAATTCTTGAGTGTTTGTCGACTGTGTTTATGTCTCTTCGAAGATCCGCCTGCAGGAGGACACGCCCGAGCTAACCATGGCTGGGCGGCATATCGCCCCGTACGCCCCGGCACATTACCGCGCCCGTTGCCTGCTTCTCGGAAGGCGGGGCGGGAGTCTTACACATGGCAGCAAAAAGGATGGGAGCCCCGTGTACCCTCGCAATTCTGTCCTTAGGGTGCACTCGCATCGATTAGCGTTTGGTACTTGATGAGATAGTGCCGATGTAGTGCCGATCACGTGGACGAGCGTCGAGTAGCGTCGGTTTCTCGTCGAATAGCGTCGATTTATCGTCGAGTAGCGTCAACGAGCGTCGATTCGCAAGAGCCAACACGATGGTATAGGAGGCTCCCATGAGTTGCCGCAGAAGGGCCTCCGCCATGCAGGAACGGGTCAAGGATAATTGGCCAGGACGAGGCCACGTGGGTAGGATCAAAGCGGATACGGGCAACAATGGGGACGCACACCGACATCGATTCTTGCCCATTTCGGGCACGACTCGCTGTGGGTGTCGCCGCGGACACATTCCTCTTTGAAGAGAGAATGAGCCGCCCGGCCGGCGGCGACCGCCGTCGCTTTGGGACAGCATCTGCTAGTGGACATCGTGCCCATTTCTGTTCCGTGCCCGCCTCGGGCGTGCCAGTCGACCGACGATCGGGTCAGACGAAAGGTAGGGACAGGGAAAGTCAAGCAGTGGTGAAGCGTCCTGGCTTCGGTATAGCCCTACTAAACAATGTCCTAAGACACTTTTTGTGGTTTCCACGACATGTTCTTAGAACATTGCTGGCTGGGACTGTCTTGTTCTAGCACCATGGGTTTATGTTATGAGAGATTTGTTGTTCTTGAAACATGTCTGGGTTCTGAGAACATTTCGTGGTAGGACTATAGGAATGCCGGGACGGTCGGCCCCTCTGCTCAAGGAAGGAGGGGGGCGGTACGCAATCTGATGCATGCAGCTGCCTCGGGCCCCGCGCGCGCCTGCCTCCATTCTTCGGTTGGCGGGCGCGCCTCCCTCGATTCCTCGGCGCCTCCCGGTGCCGGGGGAGGCGCCGAGGCAATCGGCCACGCCTGAGCTGCTTTGCCGAGCCCTCCCCTTCACTGTTCGAGTAGGGGACCGGCTGCAGTTATGATGTTCCAACCTACTGTAGCCTTGACCGCCAGAAAGAGTTCCGAGCACCAGAAAACACCGAAACTCGAGGGTTTTCACGTGTCGGGCCCTGGGAGACACCCGTCCGACACTGCTTCGACACTCCCTCGACACTGTTTCGACACTTTTCCGGGTGTTCGAAATTATGTCGTACGACGGGAGCAACATGAGACTACAGAAGTGGTTCGCCCGAGAATGCATTTCCACGCCGAATCTACGAGAAATGCGTAGAATGCTCCATAAATCTACGGTTAAGTCGGGCCTGTCCCCCTACAGGTGGATTTTCGACGAAAATAATAAATACCCCGAAATAGTCCAAACATAGTCCCCAGATAGTCTGGGGACTATTTTTTTGTATTTGTTTTACCTTTTTGGGGTATCTTGTTTTTTTATTTTTCGTCGAAGATCCCCCTGTAG